ACATATTTTTGATGCGAAAAGCATTAATTGGCAATTTTGTTAATAACATGTTAAAGATATTGAACATTTTTGTTTGAACATTTTACTGCCGTGAATTTTAAATCAAATTTTCTCATAAAATGCATGAAAAATGTTACAATTTATAATTTTCCAATTTAAACAAATGGTGTTAATCACGTTGAATCAAACATTTTTCTAGTAGAAAGAGCTGTTATTTGCACCAGTCAGATTCGATATTTCACATGACTGAGAATGTCTCGGTAAAAGGTCTACAGCGAACCTTTTGAGAGAAAATGTTCAACTGAATCGAATTTCAAAAGGAATACGTAAAATTCATTTTGAAGTTTAAACATAGACTTATTATGCCTTTTTGCTGTTACATACAAAGTATGCGTTCTTTGCACTTTCTGGCACTACATGGCATGAAGTTCATGCAAACTAAAACTTATTGTCCATCAAATCGGACCTGTCGTCCGTTACTCGCCAACACGCGAACTATATATTGATTGTTTCGAAAAAAAATCGTTTGTTCACTTTTCTGACCGAGTGTTGATATATGACGACAACCAACCGTGTAAAGCATTTACCACAATAATCAACCAAAGAGGACTTAAATCAAATCGTTAAAAAAACGTACGTGGCAAACAAACCAGAAAAAAGTCAAACAAAACAACTGAAAAACGCCCACCACATCAATTATCATTATCACATATTCAATTTTCCCAACTGCTAATATTTGGTGAACCGAAATCATATAAAGTGTTTCAACCAACCAAAAGCCATACCATTTGAATGCGCGTTCGCATTTTTTTCTCTCTCTGTTTCTCCCGTTACCGATTCAGGCTTTCGAAATATCATCAAAAGTGGTTCGCGAAATTTTTTTCATTTTCGCTGTCTCTTTCCCTTTCTCTCTTTCTCACTCTTTTCGTTCACTTTCGCTAAAATGTTGGATTTATTCACAAAAATCGGCGGTTCGGTGAGATCTGATGGAAGACTTGTGTGCAATTTTTTTCATTCACTCTTTCGCTCTCGTCGTCATTCGATTCGACGGTGACCGCTAGCGTTGTTTTTGTTGTTGAGTTAAGTGAAAGCCTCAAAACCACTTGGATATACAAAACCGAAAAAATCACCGCACGCCAACTTTTTTTTTGTTCAACAAATATATTTGGACGAGTGAGAGCGCGAAAAAAATTATATATGAGAGCAGTGCTTTTTTTCATTCTCTCTCACTTTGTACGGGGTTTTTTCAATTCCGGCATACAAATATACGCACCATGAAAAGTAAATGCACTCATTGATACACACATGCATGCAGGAGAGTGAGATAGAATAAGCCGATGCAGATACAGATGCATAAAATCGTTCGTTCACTTTCGAAATTACTGCAATAATCCGTTGGATATCCGTGTGTTGTGTTGGCGTTTTTGCTTGCATTGGCAATTCCGATTTCAATCCAATTGGATCAAGTATTGACATCGCGTGAAAAAGCCTACCGATTCATGACTCAAACCACCATCAGGAATTCAAATTTGATTGCATTATTCGCGTACTGGCCGACACAGAAAAGGATGCCAAAAAATCGGCCTCTGTGCTTCTGTTGTTGTTTTTTTTTTTTCAAATGGGCACTTCATTAGACAATACAATGATTGAAAAGTGACCAAAGTGATGGAGTTTTATGAGTTATTTTTAATGGATGTCACATTGTTGCCTTGCGATTTTACCGCACGCAAGACCACAATTGAAAATTGCCAGAAGTTGATTGGGATCGCCGAGAAACGGGCATCAGCTTGCTTGCGTCAGCTCATTTTTATGAAAAGAAAAAACAACACGAGGCCGGATAAAAATAATACTCATTGATGAACAAATTTAAAGCGTATTTTAAGCTTTAGTTAAAATTGATTTTTGCATTGTAAAGCCGATTCATTAAATTGAAATTCATTAATTATTTACTCAAAATTAAAATCATTTCATGCATTTTCAAAAGGCAATTCAAAGCGATAGAGGTAGAGGGAGAGCGATAAAAGGGTGCATGATGGAAATTTTTCTATTGAACTTTTGTTTGTGAATTATCGGTTGTGTGTCGTACGCTTCCGCTTTCATCTAGGGGATAACCGTGAATTGCAGATCGAATAATTTATAATAATAAACGCTATTTCTCTCTAGTTTTCACTAATTCTGCTAGTATTTCTACTAGTTTGTTCTAATACTGCTATTTTTTGCTAATTTCTCTAGTACGTCAACGTAATAACTGAAATGTGTTTACGTAAATGTTTCAAGTTGACACTTTCAACGTGTATATTTGAAGCAGGCACTAGCGTATACGTTTTCAGTAAGAAATCTGTCATCAAATCTACATTTCCGATTGCAATTCGTAAATTGTAGTTAATACAGATGAAACGTGCTTGGTTACGTGCCATTGAATATATTTTTATTTAAAAATGAGAAAAAGCGTATTTAACTACATATTTTGATACATTTTAGTTCAACACTATTCAATTCGTTTGTTTTGTGAATTTTATTTTAATTAATTATTTCAATATATTCAAGAATAAATGCTTACTAAAGTATATACGTGTACAGTGCTAATTCTGCTATTTATTGCTAATTTTGCTATTTTCTTCATGTAAATTTCCCTATTTTTTTGCTAATGTGCTAATTCTAATTCGCATGGATATCCCCTAGGCTTTCATAAATGTGATGCAAAGTGTATGCATGTGTGCAATTGAATTGCATAATGAACGCGATAATATTGAGTTTTATACGTTGCTGCACAAGTTTTACATGTAATTGGCAGTACTTTTTTCATGTCGCTATGACAACGCCACACAATTTTTGGACAAGCTTTCATTGCAAGCGGAAGTTTTTCTCACTCTCGCACTCGGCATGTGAATTTCAATTTTCAAAATGCATGCAATAACAAAATGTGCTCGTCGCTTTTCAATAACGTTGATTTGATTTTGTACGATGTGCATGGCACATTCACATGTGTTTGTCGAAAAGTTTTTAGTGATCACGACTGAATTTAAATTCGGTACAAAGCCCCATGATGCATTTACATTTTTGAGCCACTAATATAAAATTGAATGCATCATCCAAAATACGGATGAATCAGCATTATTCGGTTCTCCAACTCGGCACTGGCATTCATCAAACGATGATGATGTTTGATGTAATATTTTTGCAATGAAAGGCCATTCATGCGCAACTGTTTGGTTGGAAAAATGTTCGGTCTCATGAATATCATTTCAATCTGGCAAACGCGATAAATCGACTAATTCACCATCACTTTGACTCTAGTGCTATACAAAGCGGGCACATTGGAAATTAACCATCTCACCAGGCATCACAAACAAACCCTATTTTTTTCTAACTTGGAAAGTAAAGTTTATGTCAATTTTTAACTCCATTTAAATAACAATTCAATGCATTTTCGTATCGTTCACAGGATTCCATTTGATTGGAACTCAATTCATTTCTCTTCCACTTGGTTAGAGACTAACAAAGGTTTGTCTATTCAAAAAACCAAATTCACTAAATAAATCGACGCAAAATTTGACCATATTTTAGTGTTTTTTACTCATTCGACTATATTTTACCCATACTTAAATAAATGTTAATTTCATTTTGATGGCGGTTCTATATATTGGTCAATGTTTAGACATCAATACTTTTGATAAAGGTACATTTGAAAAGTCGGTGCCGAATAGACGGTTTGAGAGGTCTTGAAAGAAACTCATTGAATAAATTAATTGGACAATGACCAATGAATTGTGGTTTCGTACCCTTATCAATGTGAATATCGGTAAAATAAACAATTATAAAATCGTTCACTGAAAAAGTTTTAATTTATTTTTCTCTTGACTTGCAAATCCGATCATTTAAAGATACGGAAAAAAAATTGTTAATTAATTTACAATGCCGAAGAAACTGCGTGTAAACTTTTCGAAATGATAAATTAAAAGGAGAATGGTCGCCGGTGATAAAAGTTTGTCATTTGAAAGTTTAATACACAGTATTTTAATAATTGATTTAAAAAAGGAGTTAACGATGTCAATATTGAAAAAGGGGGAAACGAGTTTTTCTCGATCGAAATAAATAAATTACATCCACATCGCATGGTTACGAGTAAAATTGAAAGGATTTCTACTCGATTAAAGAATTGCTAAGCAGCTGATGAATAAATTGATAAGCGGTTTGGCAACCCTCAACGAAAGCAAAAAAAAAAACCGTTTTCATAGACAATACGAAGAAGTTCGGCGTTGGAATTTCTGCAAGTGAAATCTCAAGAAAAACTTGTATAAACCACACACACGTCTGTTCTCAACAGACGGGATGTTGTTGCCTAATTTTTCTTTTCTCCTTTTTTTCTCTGTGTTCAATGTAAAACCCATCTTCACATAATAGACATCTTTATTTACAAAACGATTTTCCGGCATTTTTCAAGCTGCTATTTATTCTGTGGTGATGTATCACTCTCTTTGTCTCACGGCATCACCCTCGAACCAAATGCGGGGTGTTTTTTTTGCTGCTTGATATGACGGAAGGAAATTCGTAAGCAGAAAACTTGTGCCCGAAACCATTCGAAAAAAGAAGCATTGAATTATGAAGAAAAATGGTTTGAGGTATTCTCATGGTGAATGTGTATTCCCTTGGATTTTTCTTGAAATGTTTCGAGGGTGCCAATACATATGTTTATACGTGCACACTTTGCAAAGCAAAGAGAGAAAAAAACAAGCATAACATAATAATATGTGTGATTATGGGGCTTATGAGAGGCTCTTTCGTGTTTAACGTGATAATTTTCATTTCAATGAATTTATGCGTTGCTTCCGCAGTTTTTCGTTTGTTCGGATGAGTGCGGCTCATTTTTATATTGACTTTACCTGTTGACTGTGTCGAGTAAATATTCGCTCGAAGGCATGCATTATATCACATTATATTTAATATTTTGTTTGTTATAAATTTATATATATATATATATTTTTTTTTCGTTCACTTACCGCGGCCTGATCTGCCCACAAATCTATTTTGTTGTAAATAAAAGAAAAATATTTATTTCAATTTTAAATCTTTCTTCTTTTTCTTATTCCAACTGACTTACCGTAAGTCATTGAATTTAGCTACTTGATTTTTCATAACGGCCGAACAATTTCTCAATTCAGCGCTGTAATTTTCATCGTTGCCAGCTTTTACAGTGACCATCGTACCATCGCCAATATCACCAAGTGAAACGACTTTAAATGCAACTGGCAACGTTTTGTTCGATCGCCAGTGCTGGGGTAGAACGGTACAGACAAACAACGGGCTACCCGTTCGTATCAATTCACCTTTTGAATAATATGCTATTAATTTTATGAGTAACAAAAATCGAATGTACCGTTTTTATTACCTGGATGCTCGGACAGAAAGTCGCCCAATGTACGTTCGGCTAATATGTCCGATGTCATTTTGGTGTATGCATCGTTCAATAGACTGGCTGCTGTTGGCGGCGATGTATTTTCACTTGATGTGCCCGAGGCAGTGGCCGATGTTCCACCATTTGTTGGTGTTGTATTGCTTCCGGTATTTGTGCCACTGCTGTTTAGATTGTTTGTTGTATTACCGGTAAGATGCATTTTGTTGGTGATTTTCTTCCGAATTTTTGCAAATTAAATTGTTCAACTGTATTTAAAAAAAACGAAGCAGCGGTTCTTTTGCTGCTCGACTTTGATGCGGTTTTACTTTTTTTTTCCTCTTCGAAATGTGTTGATTTATGCTATTAACAATTGTGCTAAGTAAATATCCTGAAATTTATGAGAAAGAGACATTTTAAATAGCATCAAAAATTTAGACATCAAACTCGTTGGAAACAACACATAATGAAATTTGCACATGCACGATTTGTTGTAGTTTGGCTTAGGCTAATTTTTGGAAAATGTATGAATTGCGCTTGTTCGACGACTACGGCATTTGGCATAATTTAAATCTTATTGCTGACAATGAAATTGTTTTCATGGCATGGCAAATGAGACATGTGAATGACGCACAGCGCCATGATTATTATCAGCATCCGGTGGTTGGAGTGGAGTAATGCGAAAGAGGCAACAAACGTTTTGCATACAAAATGATAATGTGTAGACAATTGGATAAATATATGGTCAGAAGTATACCTTTTTGGTTTAATGGTTTTGTTTTATGCTGATTTTCTAACTCGAATTCGTATGGTTGTCTGGCAGTGTGAATTACATACACACAACAGTATTTCACATGCCAACACCAAAATGTAGTCCAAAGCGAAAATGTCGGCTTCTCGACCCGTTTTTCGAATCGAAAACCGTATTTCGTTAATGTTGAATGTTTAGAATGCATACGCTTGTTTAGAGGTTTCCTGACATCAAAATGTTTAGCGGTCATCGAGCAATAGTCAAAAGTTGTTTGCCACACACAAGCACACCAACTTCAATTCGCTCTGTGATTGAAATCGACCGAAATCCGTAGCAATTTGGATTTATATACGAAATCATTTTGTGTGCATGTGTGTGACACCATTTTTTCGCCCAAAATTCTTATGAATCTCATGTTGAATGAGAGAAATCTCATGACACCGCCTGTCATTCGAGTGTTAAAATGAATTGCATACCTTTTTCACCATTTTTCGAAAACTTCACATTTCAAAATCAACCGAAAATTTATAAAGAAAAACAAACTCGACAACCACCGTGAAACAAAACCACATTCCAGCATATTTTCATAGTGTGCATTAAAATATTTCGGTTGAATTACATTCCCTGGAAAAAACCTCATTATGCGAATACACCTGAATTTCGTCGGCCATTACGAAAAATATATTTAACTCGATGCAATAAGAAATAGTAAAAAAATACAAGTACAAAATAACCATTTTTTTTATTCGGTTTGTGTTGATCTGACCAAGCTTATTCACACCCATTGTCGTGGTACCGTTTTTAATAACATATACGAAAAAAAAACAATGATTTTGTAGTTGGCACAAACCTCAAAACAACGGTTTAATGCGGTTAAAAAGGAACTACCGGCGATACCACTGTAAATTCGTAAACTATTCACTTCTCTCTTGGTGTATGAATTTGAGTCTGGTATTTTTAAACACCTTTCATATTTCGCAGAATTTATTTATATATATATTTTTTCGTTAATTTTTATAAAAACCACAATCAAAATTCAAATTGCAAAGCATTAAAATAGTTTGCAACATTTTCGAAGCATAGCGGAAATTGCGAGCCATTCTGCTTCAAATATTTGATTCGTACATGTTTGAAATAGTTAATCTTTGTTATTCTAGCACAAAAATTCATTCATACACGACAACTAAGCACACACAAAAATTGATTAAATGATAACAACGCAACCGCCTGCCTGTGTCTGCTAAAGCGGGCGATTCATTTATGATTTATAGGAATCGGGAAAATCCTCGCCGATGAATCGAAAATTGGGCATAGACACACAATTGCGGCGGGGCATGTGTGTACGATTCGTGTTTGTATGCAATATATGTGCTAAAGTGGTTACATAGTTGGTTTTCGGATGTATGCTAAGCCAAGCACTTTCTATACCTCACTGTTTATACTTCATTGTAAATGCGCGCGGAAAAATCCACCGCAAACAAACAAAATATCGAAATTCACACCGAAAACATATTCGAACCACTTTTCAATATGCTTTACCATAACGACGACAATGAGCCCACGATGAATCCCGACAAAGCCGAACACACTTCGATACACCAAACACTGAACTTATTTTTAGTCGACGATTGAATGATTCGACCTCACTATATACACCAAACAATGTATGTGTGTGTTGTACGTGCACTAAATTACAGCTTTGTTAATAACTCAGACGTATGATGCAAACGACGGTGTTTTTAATTCTCTCGCTCGCTGCTGTTTCAATCAAATTGAAACATCAAGCTTAACATAGACGAATTTAGCTGTGTACAATCCGCATAATTCATTTCAGTCAAGAATAAAATATAGCCACATTGTTTGTGATAAAATACATCGATTAGATTTTGTTTGGTTTTAGTTTTGTTGTACTTAAACGGCTATTACATTACACAACATCATATCGATCTTTTGCATCAGATGCTTTACATCATTTGACGGAACGTTTGCATTTGGAAATGGAATACAAGCGAAAAAATCTGATTTTGTGATATTTTATTATTCGAGCGATAGTTTTTAAGTCGGATAGTTTGATGCGAATTTATAAAATTCACTTTTACTTCGAAAACTCAGAAATCGACAACGAAAAAATGAAATATTTTTTCAAAAACTAAAAAGATAAAACTTCTGCAAAGAACACTGTAGAATTGTGATGTTTTTAGCTATTAAATTCTTATGAATTTAGTCGATAAAACGACAATTTTAGTATGAACTTATTTTGATCTTCTGCGAATATAAAAAGTGTTTTCGTGTTCGAGGCGACAAAAACTAAAGAACGGCCACACGCATTGTCGTACAGATAGATGAATCGATGTGTTCACATTTCATATCTGCTCTTCTATTTTATCCGATTTAATTACACACATTTTTTTTAATTATACATTTTAGCTATTTTTTCGTCGTCCGTGTGTTACGCGCACACATATGTCTTTTTTAAGCAAACATTTGAGCATTTTTATGAGCGAATCCTCACATGGTTGCGACCAAAATGAAAATAAAGCGAAATTATTACGGTTATTAAAATGAATTCAGAAAGAAACAAATTTTTATATGTATGAGGAGCGATGTGACGCATTTAGTGTGCCTTCAATGTAAACCAACAAATAAATAAACATCACACAAAGAGCGAAGAGCAACAATCGTAAATTTGTTCGAATGGCGCGCATTTTGAAAACACATAATAATAACAACAGCAGCGGTAAGCGAATGATTTTGCGCGGCGCTGTAGTGCACGGCGGAAAAAACATTGGGTTATTCTCATCGGAGCAATTTATTATTAAAATTCATAATTCGTATGAAAATTTTTGTTTTCATAAACAAAAAGACTTTCTATCTTTTTGAAAGCATTTTGTTTACTTCGGACTATCTTTAACATTATGATTTCCGCTGTTTTATTGCGAGGCATTCAATGTGCGTTAGGTTTTTTTTTTTCAAATCTCACATATATGGCGACACAGAAGTAGCAATTGCTGCAAGAAGACTGTGAGAGAGGAAAAAAATCGGCTCGCTTTGTAATAAATTAATTAAAATGTCGAATGTGTGTGCGACATTTTAAATAATTCACTCTGGCAAAATCAAGCAACACACATATCTGAATTGTAACGAGGAATGGGTTCGATTTGATATGTGTGAGTATACGGTTGGAAATATAGACTTTGCAGATTGCATGTGAGATACATGCGAATTGAATTGCGTATTGCGACACACATGTACAAGAGTGAGAGAGAAAATTAATTTCAAATTGTCACCCGCATCTGGTGGAAAACAATGTGTCATCGTCAAACACAACAACACACATGCAATTAAGAAAATCTCTTTCACTAAAGCCGAACACAATATATAGATTTATGTTGTGCAAATTGTGTGATGCAAAACAAAGACTCTCTAATTGCAATTGAGAAAAATAGAGATGTTCGAATGTCACGATTCAAAAGAAACACATTCGATTCATTTCTTAAAGAAAATGAAGAATTTTACTAAGAAAAATGTGTAAAATTGTGCACATGAGCGCCAAAATTTTTATAGAGTAAGATAGTCCGGGGTCCATGCGGTTCAGTACAGAAACAGTTTTTCCAGTTTTCTTCTTTTCAACGAATCGCACGAAGAAAACTCCTACTTTTTCTTATTCGCTCAATACACGCTCTTCAACGAAAGCGCAGTGCGTACAATTTTCCACATTTTTTTTTTTCAGCTTCTTCGCTTCTTTCGTGTGTCTCTTATCTACTCGAAAGGGGTGGAGTATAAATACGAACCAACAGAAAAACGTCTTTTTACTCCCTGATTGTGATAAGAAACGAAAAATGATGTGCTCATGTAAAACGAAAGATTTAAATGACGATTTTGTTTGAGAAAAACTCTCACAAAAAAAATCAAATCGTTTTTTGCATTAAAAATTGAGTAAACATTTGGAATAGCTTCAATGTGATTGAAATATAAATTTAAATTGATTTTCAAAGATTAATTGCTGTTTAAATATGCCATTGGCGAGGTTTTTATTTTTTTTTCTCGTCATGATCGAACGCAATTATCTTTATCCCCCAAAATCGATTTGTGTGAATTGACAAAGGCATGCAAATAGGTCTGGTCGACATACACATACACACACGAAAAAAAAGTGGGAAGAAAAAAAACGTCGACAAAAAACCAACACATAGCTGACATCAACCACATGAGCAACCAAACTGGAGGAAATAATAACCCTGGACGTAAAGCACACAAATTAATAATAACAAAATGTGCGACATTCCCCAAATGCACAAACAAAGTAAAAATGCCGAACGCATAGAGACAAACCATATTAAATGAAAATATTACAGCCGGAGAAAGGCATACAAACAATAACAAAAAAAGCGGACGGCTATGGACAATCGACACATATTTGAACAGTTAGCATCAATGGACTCGAAAAAAAAAGAACTGCAAAAAATTGGGAAAATAACAGAGATTCGAGTGAAATTACTGAAAAACACACGTACACATTTTTGTGCATACCGATGCAGACGCATCAGGGACACATATAGTACAATAATTGCAACGAACTTGATGTCGAAACACACATGAGATATAAAGCTCTCTCTACTAAATCACCAAACCAAATACATTTTTTATTTTGTCATTTAAATGTGATATTTTAAACAAGCACATGAAATTCGGCTTTTTTCGAGATAACGAAACGTACCTATTGAGCTGCCATCAATTTGGCCAAGGTATTACATGGTCGGTTAGCACGTTTTATACTCGTGAACGCACACAAAAAAAATGCTACCGATACCGAAAGTGAATGGAACCACCGTGGAGTGGGCGACTCGATTTTTTGTTTATTTCAGCCGTATCTTTTTGTTTCAAACCAAATAAGTATAATCCAATTAAAATTCACTCATGTCACACATAAACACATGCGGAATGTACGTGAATTGTTATTATTCTTGTTTTATTTTTTCGCTCAGCTGCATGCAGCAGCGGCATGTTCATTACCATTTCGTGATGGTGTGCATTTTTCACGTGCAACCCAACACTACACACAGAGAGATAGAGAGATAGCGTGAAAAACATCTGAAAAACACACAAAATAAACAAATGAACATAAATTGGAATAAAGTGAACAACAACAACAACAATAATAACAAAACCAACGATGGAACATGAACAAAAAAATAACACTGACATCGGCCGGCGGTACCGGTTAAAAAAATGAAACGTGCATCGAAACAGATGAGAATGGATGAAAATGCGATGTGAATGTCAGGACAGCAATCAAAACAGCACAAGTGCACACATTTTTATTATCCGTTTGGATATTCATGGTGAATAACTAAATGACATCGGTACACCAAATGGCAAAAAGAGCCATTGACTACGAAAGCAAAAAAAAAACACACACACACACAAACACACAATTCGAAACGTTGAAGAGAAAAAAAACGCACTCGCTAAAATATTGAGTATACAGAGAAGGTTTGATTATATCTATTGGATAGGCTTTTATAACTTGGTGCCGCCAAGCACCGAGTAAATGTCATAACGCAAAACGAAACACTTTTTTTCGGTTCGAATTTTTTTTGCTGTCGTGTGCTCCAATTCACATGTGGAAATCGGCGAATTTTTCTGCACAAAAATTCTGTTGCTGTTTTTCTTCATATTTCCGCATTGGGTTTGTGATGTAAATGGAGTTTTATATGTGTTTTCCGCCCTCTGAACCGGAACAAAAAGGAAAGAAAGCGCAAAATGTACATGCACACACATTTTTCGCCTACAATTTTTTTTCCATACGAACTAGACAACACATAATAACGAGAGTGCAATATACGTACGCGTTGGTGGCGATGTTGGTCAATTTTCGCAGTTGATGTGAGCGCTCATTCGCGCATTTTTTTCTCTCTCTCTCTCTTTCTCGCCCTTTTTCGATCGGGTCTCTTTTATGCGTTTGGCGAGGAAAATTCACTGACGAGAAAAAATTATGTTTTTTTACCCGCTGGTTTTTTTTGCCCAGTTCACTTGTAATGTCACACTGCCAAAGAACTAACTGTATGAATGCAATTGAAAACACAGCATTCTTTTTTTTCGGAAAATGTGTCTAGTAGATTCTGGTTGGAAATGGAGTTAGTTAGTTAACGCCGATTTTGTGTGTTGTTTTCACCCCCCAAAGTTCAGATATGTATTTGGTGGCGGTAGTATTTAAGTATTTAAGCGATGGTTTTTGGTTGCGTTCAACGGACTCTTTTTGTTTTTGTTTTTATCTACTGGTTTAACACATCAATTGAGTTCTTTAGTCCGTGGCGCTTGTTGTATTTGTTAGGCGTTTAGTGTGATGTTGGTAACGTTATGTTTTACCTCAAAAAAAAGTGCACTGCAAAAATCAATTGTTCAACATGATATGGTCATTTAAGCGATATATATTCGCGCGTACACTCCGTTTTTTTCTGTCATTCAATCTCTTTTATCACTGTGTCGTTGAATGTGTCTCGTTTATGGGCGACAAGTAACACACTTGTTTTGAGTTAATTGTTGGCCCGTTAGTTGACTCGACTTTTTTGTAATGTCCAACTTGTAATTCATTTAACGCATCATTGTTATTCGCACAGATTTTTTTTAACTGCCACAATCGATGTGAATGACTTATTTCCCACTAAATTCGAAGAAAAGTTTCACTCTCAAAAACATGCACAAAATGAGAATTTTCGCAAAACTAAATGTTTCTCTTTGTACCGAAAAACTATCAAAAATTGTCGCATTCGAAATGGAAAATTGAATTTTGTTGCTCGATGGATTGACGTTGTTTTAGCGGCGAACTTCAAAAAACACTGTTCACTTGATAATGGTCATTCATCGTATGAATTCGATGTGTGCTCTGTTCCCGACTATTCACTACTCGTATGTGTATATGATTTTCTCTCGTGTGTCGTGTTCAATGTATCTCGTTTTCGATGCTCCTGCCACTGCTCTACTGCTGATGATGTTGCTTGTCGTTGCCACAACTTTTCGTAAATATTGGCATTTCACGGATTCACATGGATGTTAGGCTAGCTGGTGCTGTTTGCTTGCTATTGCCGCCTGCACACACTTTCTATTTTATCAAACAACTGTAAAATATATGTACAACAATTATTCACAAATACAAGCGCCAAAATGCGATGAAAAGCAAATGGGCCACCTCACTTGTCGTTTAGCTTCGAATAGAGCGTACACTGTGTTTGTAATGGGAAAAATCGCATTAAACATATATGAAAAGAAAGGGTTTTCACACACATATGTGTGAGTACTGCTACTGCTGCCACCGCTGCCAGTCGTAAGCAAATGCTTATGAATTCGAATTTATTTTTGGTCGTATTTACATATGTAGAACCGAACGGCATAGGCAAAATCGAGCGAGAACGAGAGAAAGAGCGTAGAATGAGAGCGAGAGATATAACAAGAATGTTGTGTTGCGTTAGCAACTCCAACCAAATGAATTGTGTGCTGTTGCTACTGCTGCTGTTGCTGCATCACATTTTCATTTTATATTATATAAAATTTATCCACTTTGCCGCACAATAGTCAAACGAGTATATGTGCTGTTTTACATTTAATGATGTCACTGATAATAATCACTGAAGCTCCCGTATGGAGTTGCGAGCCAACAGTAGCTGATTACACACACATCACATGATTATATTTTACCGATACACTTATGCGAACAACCGAAAACTATGAAACACATACACCCATCGAGTAAGCGGGGCAACAAATACATAATCAGCAATGATCTCTTGTACGAGACAACAATTTCACTCAATGGATTTGCTCAATGATTTTACAAAGCGAAAATTTTTCATTCTATATCATCGCGAGCAGGGGAATTTGATGGGGGTAACGATAGAATGTGAATTTTCGCTACTTAGGATTAAAGTACTTAAATACCTATTGAGTTTTTATTGAGTGAATATTGAAAATCTAATAAGAAACTCCTGTCATGATTGAAATTGAGTGTTAGATTATTTAGCCTAAAATCCTTTCAGTTAAAACAAATAAACGGTAATTCTATGTTTTGTAAAATGTTATTGCATTGCTCAATTTTCTTCATAAAGAGCGCCAATGATCAATATTCCCCAACGATCGAATGAGCCAACGAAAAATTCACTCATATCGCATTTCACTCATTTGCCGTGCGTTGAGTCTATTGTCCGTCTTTTTTTCCATATTATCGTATAGAGTCAAATGGTACTGTCGGCGCTGTCGTTGTTATGTACCCGCTCAAAATGCCTGAAACGATGAAGAAGCGTTTAAATTAATGATATAGGCAGCAGATAAGTTTCTGCGGAGTCCCACTAAATACACATAAACCGACAATCAACAGACTCACACACAAAAGCATGTGTACACACATGCTCCAGCAACGGCACGTTAGTGGCAGAAAACTCTCTCTCTGTATCCCTGCATATGAAACAGAAGACGTTCGAACACGAAACAGAAGAAGAGAAGAAAAGCGTACGGTTGGTAAAATAGTGGAAAAAAGCTGGCGACCGATGCCAAAAATCGTTACCGTGTGTTGCACGCAAAACAACCAAAATTATGAAAACATAACGGTGAGTGAGACAGCATGTTGCTAGCAAATGGAGAGAAAGAGTTTTGTTGGCGTGCAGCGCACACACAAACCGAAATGTGGAAAATCTGTTGTGCGGTCAAAATGGGTTGGATCAAAAAAATCATTTCATTCGTTATGAAACTATGCTATTATGCACACATACACGCTCTCTTACCTCGTTCGTATACTTCATGTGCCAATAATACACTGTGACATGTGACACTTACTATAGCACATTAGAAAGTAGTTTAAAGAATTTCGTTCGGGTTTTCTTCGTAGTCACATTCTTTGCGAAACCAAAAAATTGGATTTTGGTAAATTTTGGACCGGAATCCAAATTGTTTTTGAAAACGCATGTCAATTCCCGTTAAAATAGTTTTTGCATCAATGCAGCGAGTTCATTGCTAGTGGCCGATGCGTTCGTTGTGATAACAACGCAAAAACACGTGTTACGGGCGGAGTTAAGGAATGTAGTTGCGCGGTTTGAACCAAACTCTGTATATATACACACAAACATCTACGAATTCGGCAAGTCTCTCACTCACTCTCCTCGTCTACATACATCGAACACAATTTTATTTTCGTGGCCTCGTTTGCGTCTCTGTATCCGGCCGTTGGTTGAACTGTGGATTTAATTAGAGCGCACAAAAACTCGCTTACATGGTATTTGCTTGCAGTTAAATGCTGCTTTGCTCTCTCTCTCTCTTTTTCTCCTGGTATTAGTTAAGGAACCAAATAAATTGTGAGACCCTTGCATATACAAACCTACACATACTCACATACGAGTGAAAACTTTGCTCTTTTGTTTTTCGCATTTCGATCCTAATTTTAAATTATTTATTATACGAGCGCGCACACAACTCATGCATTATCAAATATCCTCTTCACATATTTTCTTATGCGATCTCTCTATCACTGTGTATGTATGGGTGTATGGTGAGCGCACTGGCCCATTGGCGCTTATATACTAAAAACTCTTCGCATTCGGTTTCCATTTATTTATATGTATAGTTAAAAAAAAATTGTCGGTTCAATTTTCGGCAAAGTGAACTTATTCTGGGCGAACAACAACTGTTTTTCGGTGTGAAAACCAAGTGAATTGAGAGCCGAACAGCAAGAACCGAACAAATAAGGCATATAGTGAGAGCAAGAGCCAGTGAGCACACGCGTGTTTGCTAGCCAATATACTGGTGGTAAAAAGATGTAACCAGATTTTGTGCTCGATGTGCGGTAGCTACATAATTGGAAAACCAGACCATCGTGAGGTCTTATCAGAGGTTATTTCAGCGGTTCCAGTTAGTGGCCGAAACTGCAACCAATTTTACTATAAATATCTGTTATTCATGTGCTGCCACCGATTCAGTTGATTTTTCGACCAAAAACACTGGGTTTATATTTGATGATGGGAACAGCCCGACTACGACGACGATGACGATGGCTAAAACACACAATATGGGTGTGCGTTTGTTCGATGGCACTTAAACTGAAAATGATAAGGACCGTAATTTACTGGCTTAGACGGTTTATTTTCATTGCGTGCAAACAATTTTCGGATTTTCCATTTGGAATTTGAACATTTTAAAAGACATTGAACTCATTTCCACGATAATTTACATATGCGAAAATGGGCTTTAGACTAAAAACATTCACTAAAACAAGTTGTTGTCATTTATGCTCGTAAAGGCTTTTGCCTCTCATCAACGTCGGTAATTTTCTCGGCCCAATATTCGCCTCAATATATTTTCGTCTTAATTGTTTTCTTGAAAATCGCACGAAAAAAGAACTATTGAAAAAAGACACCATAAAATCTTTCGTTTGTGGTTATATTCAAAGGAGTTGCATAATTAGCACATACAAGTATAAAATTGAAAAGACAAAGATTTTGTATGTTTCTAACTGAATTGAAAGTTAATAAGAAAATGAGAACCCTTTTTGAAATTGTGTATATCTCATCATCTGAGATTTCAAGTATCAGCAATCTGAAACGTAATTTTCCACAAGCACATTCACATACGCAAAATGAGACAGTTCGACTGTGTATTTCAATTGTTGTGCAAGCAAGCCCACTCATCAGTAAGAGTAAGAGTTTTCAAAGATCTCTTTGCAATCCATCCAATAAGAAGGAATAATGAGTGCAAGCATACTAATTAAAGCAATGATACTAAGGCTAAAAGTGTTTCATTTGTTGAGTTGTACCGTTACCACTTGTACTTTTGGAAAAGTTGAAAATGCAAAAACGATTTTCTTCTGCTCGACTTCTTATTTTTGCTCATTTGTAATATATGTTATATGCATGTGGGTAAAATTCGTTGTTTTTTTCTTCCTCTCTCTCTCTCAAATTTTCAATTGTTAAACTTTAAAAACCAGTGAAGCAAACGGCTTTACAACGAAATTCGGCTTACTTTGACGTGAAATGTGAAAATGGGTAGCTCATTTTAATTGCTAATTAAAAATATTTCTCTCGCTCTTTATCTCCCATTTGTGCGATTTAAAATCAAGTGCTTTGTTTGATCTATATGAGACCATGTGAAGATATGCAAAATACACACATTAAAACATTCTATCTTTGGAATTAAATTGCTTCGGTTCGTAGAATTTTTTCTCTGCTTTGCCTTTGCCAAAAAAGCTGATAAACAGAGCGTATTCGATGGTATTCACCCACACATACAGACATTTCAAGATGATGCTGAAGAAAAATAGATAAAAGAAAACCGCGTGATTACGATGTTTCATAAATCACTGTGCATATTTTCGGCACACAAATAGATCCATCCGATTAGCATATCGAAGACAAAATCTCTGGTGGTTTTCTCTGTTTAAAATATAAGATCATCGGTTCTCGTTCGTTCGTGCAAGAGAAAATTCATTTTATTGAAAATTTCATTTATGAATAAATAATTTATTTAAGCCGTACGTATCGAACTGGGTCTGTCATGCGAAAGAAAGAATGTGACGGCAACGAAATTGGGGAAAAAACTAAAAATTCATTAAAATATTTTACGAACTCGCTTTTCGAAACCATGCACATTTCCAAACTAAAGGAATTCCGAAAGAGTTAACATTCCAAAGCGTTTAGTTTCGTCTTTTTTTGATGCGAAATTTGCTGCAAAAATTGTGAAGTGTTCTTTTTTTCATTTCAGTAGAGGCCGATAAAGTATTTCAACTGAAGAAAATCCATATGGAATGGCAAGAACACGCACACCATAGAAAAAGAAACGAAAATGAGCTGAAAAAGCCGAAGTGAATTAATGAACTCTAATCTAATTCATTGGACGATCGTCATTACCCTCTTGAATTAGATCCATAAAATTTGCATATGTGATGGCAAATTGAGAAACCGGTTCTATTCAGGGAATTATTCATTCTGTTCAATGCTCTACTATGCATGTTGAATTATACAAAGTGTTTCTATTGTGTGCTGATTTTGAACATTAGAGCAAGAAGTGGTGGGTTCTAAGAAAGATTGGTAGCATTTCTCGGTGTTGATTGAAAATTGTGC